CTGTACCCGTGCCATATATACCCGTGCCGAGCCCCGTGTTGTCTGTACCCGTGCCATCTGCACCCGTGCCATCTGTACCCGTGCCATCTGTACCCGCGCTGAGCCCGGTGCTGTCTGTACCCGTGCCGTCTGTACCCGTGCCATCTGTACCCGTGCTGAGCCCCGTGCTGTCTGTACCCGTGCTGTCTGTACCCGTGCCATCTGTACCCGTGCCATCTGTATCCGTGCTGAGCCCCGTGCTGTCTATACCCGTGCCGAGCCCCGTGCCGTCTGTACCCGTGCCATCTGTACCCGTGCTGAGCCCCGTGCTGTCTATACCCGTGCCGAGCCCCGTGCCGTCTGTACCCGTGCCGTCTGTACCCGTGCCGAGCCCCGTGCTGTCTGTACCCGTGCCGTCTGTACCCGTGCTGAGCCCCGTGCTGTCTATACCCGTGCTGACCCCGTGCCGTCTGTACCCGTGCCATCTGTACCCGTGCTGAGCCCCGTGCTGTCTATACCCGTGCCGTCTGTACCTGTGCCATCTGTACCCGTGCCGTCTGTACCCGTGCCATCTATACCCATGCCATCTGTACCCCGTGCCGTCTGTACCCGTGCCATCTGTACCCGTGCCGAGCCCCGTGCTGTCTGTACCCGTGCCGTCTGTACCTGTGCCATCTGTACCCGTGCCGTCTGTACCCGTGCCATCTATACCCATGCCATCTGTACCCGTGCCATCTGTACCCGTGCCATCTGTACCCGTGCCGTGCTGAGCCCCGTGCCGTCTGTACCCGTGCCGTCTGTACCCGTGCCGTCTGTACCCGTGCCGAACCCCGTGTAGTCTGTACCCGTGCCGTCTGTACCCGTGCCGAACCCCGTGTAGTCTGTACCCGTGCCGTCTGTACCCGTGCCGAACCCCGTGTAGTCTGTACCCGTGCCGAGCCCCGTGTAGTCTGTACACGTGCCGTCTGTACCCGTGCCGTCTGTACCCGTGCCGAACCCCATGCTGTCTGTACCCGTGCCGTCTGTACCCGTGCCGTCTGTACCCGTACCATATATACCCGTGCCGAGCCCCGTGTAGTCTGTATCCGTGCCGTCTGTACCCGTGCCGTCTGTACCCGTGCCGTCTGTACCCGTGCCGAGCCGAGTGCTGTCTGTACCCGTGCTGTCTGTACCCATGCTGTCTGTACCCGTGCTGAGCCCCGTGCCATCTGTACCCGTGCCGTCTGTACCCGTGCCGTGCTGAGTCCCGTGTTGTCTGTACCCGTGCCGTCTGTACCCGTGCCGTGCTGAGCCCCGTGCCGTCTGTACCCGTGCCATCTGTACCCGTGCCGTCTGTACCCGTGCCGAACCCCGTGTAGTCTGTACCCGTGCCGTCTGTACCCGTACCATATATACCCGTGCCGAGCCCCGTGTAGTCTGTATCCGTGCCGTCTGTACCCGTGCCGTCTGTACCCGTGCCGTCTGTACCCGTGCCGAGCCGAGTGCTGTCTGTACCCGTGCTGTCTGTACCCATGCTGTCTGTACCCGTGCTGAGCCCCGTGCCGTCTGTACCCGTGCCGTCTGTACCCGTGCCGTGCTGAGTCCCGTGTTGTCTGTACCCGTGCTGAGCCCCGTGCCGTCTGTACCCGTGCCGTCTGTACCCGTGCTGAGCCCCGTGCCGTCTGTACCCGTGCCATCTGTACCCATGCTGAGGCCCGTGCCATCTGTACCCGTGCCGTCTGTACCCGTGCTGAGCCCAGTGCCATCTGTACCCGTGCCATCTATACCCGTGCCGAGCCCCGTGCCATCTGTACCCGTGCCATCTGTACCCGTGCCATCTGTACCCGTGCCATCTGTACCCGTGCCGTGCTGAGCCCCGTGCCGTCTGTACCCGTGCCGTCTGTACCCATGCCGTCTGTACCCGTGCCGAACCCCATGCTGTCTGTACCCGTGCCGTCTGTACCCGTGCCATATATACCCGTGCCGAGCCCCGTGTTGTCTGTACCCGTGCCATCTGCACCCGTGCCATCTTTACCCGTGCCATCTGTACCCGCGCTGAGCCCCGTGCTGTCTGTACCCGTGCCGTCTGTACCCGTGCCATCTGTACCCGTGCTGAGCCCCGTGCTGTCTGTACCCGTGCTGTCTGTACCCGTGCCATCTGTACCCGTGCCATCTGTATCCGTGCTGAGCCCCGTGCTGTCTATACCCGTGCCGAGCCCCGTGCCGTCTGTACCCGTGCCATCTGTACCCGTGCTGAGCCCCGTGCTGTCTATACCCGTGCCGAGCCCCGTGCCGTCTGTACCCGTGCCGTCTGTACCCGTGCCGAGCCCCGTGCTGTCTGTACCCGTGCCGTCTGTACCCGTGCTGAGCCCCGTGCTGTCTATACCCGTGCTGACCCCCGTGCCGTCTGTACCCGTGCCATCTGTACCCGTGCTGAGCCCCGTGCCGTCTGTACCCGTGCCATCTGTACCCGTGCCGAGCCCCGTGCTGTATGTTCCCGTGCCGTCTGTACCTGTGCCATCTGTACCCGTGCCGTCTGTACCCGTGCCATCTATACCCATGCCATCTGTACCCGTGCCATCTGTACCCGTGCCATCTGTACCCGTGCCGTGCTGAGCCCCGTGCCGTCTGTACCCGTGCCGTCTGTACCCGTGCCGTCTGTACCCGTGCCGAACCCCGTGTAGTCTGTACCCGTGCCGTCTGTACCCGTGCCGAACCCCGTGTAGTCTGTACCCGTGCCGTCTGTACCCGTGCCGAACCCCGTGTAGTCTGTACCCGTGCCGAGCCCCGTGTAGTCTGTACACGTGCCGTCTGTACCCGTGCCGTCTGTACCCGTGCCGAACCCCATGCTGTCTGTACCCGTGCCGTCTGTACCCGTGCCGTCTGTACCCGTACCATATATACCCGTGCCGAGCCCCGTGTAGTCTGTATCCGTGCCGTCTGTACCCGTGCCAAACCCCGTGTAGTCTGTACCCGTGCCGTCTGTACCCGTACCATATATACCCGTGCCGAGCCCCGTGTAGTCTGTATCCGTGCCGTCTGTACCCGTGCCGTCTGTACCCGTGCCGTCTGTACCCGTGCCGAGCCGAGTGCTGTCTGTACCCGTGCTGTCTGTACCCATGCTGTCTGTACCCGTGCTGAGTCCCGTGTTGTCTGTACCCGTGCCGTCTGTACCCGTGCCGTGCTGAGCCCCGTGCCGTCTGTACCCGTGCCGTCTGTACCCGTGCTGAGCCCCGTGCTGTCTGTACCCGTGCCATCTGTACCCATGCTGAGGCCCGTGCCGTCTGTACCCGTGCCGTCTGTACCCGTGCTGAGCCCCGTGCCGTCTGTACCCGTGCCATCTATACCCGTGCCGAGCCCCGTGCCGTCTGTACCCGTGCCATCTGTACCCGTGCTGAAGCCCGTGCCGTCTGTACCCGTGCCATCTATACCCGTGCATCTGTACCCGTGCCATCTGTACCCGTGCCGTGCTGAGCCCCGTGCCGTCTGTACCCGTGCCGTCTGTACCCGTGCCGTCTGTACCCGTGCCGAACCCCATGCTGTCTGTACCCGTGCCGTCTGTACCCGTGCCATATATACCCGTGCCGAGCCCCGTGCCGTCTGTACCCGTGCCATCTGTACCCGTGCTGAAGCCCGTGCCGTCTGTACCCGTGCCATCTATACCCGTGCATCTGTACCCGTGCCGTCTGTACCCGTGCCGTCTGTACCCGTGCCGTCTGTACCCGTGCCGAACCCCATGCTGTCTGTACCCGTGCCGTCTGTACCCGTGCCATATATACCCGTGCCGAGCCCCGTGTTGTCTGTACCCGTGCCGTCTGTACACGTGCCGTTTGTACCCGTGCCGAGCCCCGTGCTGTCTGTACCCGTGCTGAGCCCCGTGCCGTCTGTACCCGTGCCGTCTGTACCCGTGCCGTGCTGAGTCCAGTGTTGTCTGTACCCGTGCTGAGCCTCGTGCCGTCTGTACCCGTGCCGTCTGTACCCGTGCCATCTGTACCCGTGCTGAGGCCCGTGCCGTCTGTACCCGTGCCGTCTGTACCCGTGCTGAGCCCCGTGCCGTCTGTACCCGTGCCATCTATACCCGTGCCGAGCCCCGTGCCGTCTGTACCCGTGCCAGCGCGTAATGGTGACTCGTGGACTACTCGAGCCTGAGTTGCATTGTGTGTGTAGTGTGGTGTATGTAGTGTGTGTGTGGTGTGTGGTAAGGTTGTGCACATTGCTGAGTAATAATGGCGATTGATTCATTTGGTGAGAATGATTGGCCTGACGCCTGCTGCTGTATATTTGCGGTTTGCGTGTCTCTCTCCCCGTGGTCGCGTGGATTTTTCTCCGGCTCCTCCGGTTCTTTTTTTTGCCCGACACGTTGAGAATCACGCGCTTAAGAGTTTTTGGCATTTTTTTATTTCCACCCGACGACGACGGCGACGACGACAAGCGACTTCGTTGAGCTCTCATTTGTGAAAGCCAGGTCGCGTCTGAACAAGAGCTCCTACGTAGCTCAGTGAAAAGTGATGAGTCGTGACGAGCGATTAGTGAGTGGTGGTGATGGTGGTGGTGATGATGGTGGTGGTGCTGGTGATATCATAAAGTGGGTTAGAGGAGGCAGGGCCCACGAGCGAACGCCACCGCTCCATCATAGGATGCGGATGGCTGGGTGTGGGGGGGGTGTGGGGGGGGTATGGGTCCACCGCGTTCGCTGTGGCACAGCCAAAGCCCCAGCCACGAGTCCACAGGCGCGGCGGCGGCTGAGCGGAGCCCCCCCCCCCCCCTCTCCTCCCCTTGGCCAGTAACATCCGCGGCGTTGGGGACTTGTGGAGAGTTTCTCCCCAAACACCCCCCCCCCTCTCCCCTCTGCTTTGGGCGAGGTTCTGCCGGCTCGCTCAGCGGAGCTGGCGAGGATTTCTCGCGCGCCGGGTTCGAGGAGGTGGTGGCGGTGGTGGTGGTGGCCCCTTTGAAGAGGTGACGCGAAATCCGCCGTGGCAGCAGCGGTGGTTGGCGGGGGGGGGCTCCTCCGTGCTACGGCTGGGATCGGGGGGGGGGTGGCTTCAGAAGGTCTCGCAGGCGGTGTGCGCCGCGGAGCACGGCTGGCACTCGCAGCTGACGGCCACGGGGAACGTGAAGTGCGGGTCCACGTTGGCGCGGCACATTGGCAAGCGCACGGTGCGCGGCCGCGTCTCGTTGTAGGTGCACACGCGGTGGTGAGCCTCCACGAAGGGCGGCTCCAGCGTGGGCTTCTGTGGCCACGGGGGGACACGGGGGGACACGCGGGGGACACGTGGGGGGACACGGGGGGACACGTGGGGGGACACGGGGGGACACGTGGGGGACACATGGGGGGACACGGGGGGTTACGTGGGGAGACACATGAGACACACGTGACACACTTGAAGACCCCTGTGAGGATTGCCTTGACAGACTGTTGGAGCAGCAAAGTGCTGTGAGCAGCCCATGCATCCGTCGGAGGGGTCGATAAAATGTGTTCCGCTTTGTGTGGAAGTCGACATCGGTTCCCTTATGGACGGACTCGCCCCCCACCGTGTTAGGAACGTGAAATCGCCACCACTGGGTGAGGAGTGTAGGTATCAGGTGAACACCGTCTCGACGTCAAGCAAAGATCTACAATCTCGTACAGGACCCTGCCGTGGAACCGCCCCGGTCCAGACCTTCCACGCCGTGGCCACGTGACCGAATCAGGGGCCGTGTGGCCACGTGACCGAATCAGGGACCGTGTGGCCACGTGACCGAATCAGGGGCCGTGTGGCCACGTGACCGAATCAGGGGCCGTGTGGCCACGTGACCGAATCGGGGACCAAATGGCGCCATCGGAGATTCGGCGGTCCTGCGATTGGCGCGACCACGAACCGTCGATACTCTTAGGTTGTTTTGTTAAAGTCACGTAGGTAAAAAATAAATTATAGAAATAAAATAACAAATATATTTTTCCCTATAATAAATATTTTATTTCTATTATTATTTATATTATTATTTATAGTATTTTTATTGCTTATTTTTATTTTTTACCTACGTGACTTTACCGAAAAAACCTAAGAGTATGTATGAATCCTTGCAGTCACGAAAGCTTCAAATCTAGAACGAACCGTCGAGCCACACCGTCAACAACGCCGCCGCCGCCTTTACTCCTTTCAAGGAGCAGGAACAGTCGAGATCCACTCTGCGTCTTCAATGTGCTGACAGTTAAATCCATACGAAAGAGGAGGAGGGGGAGGAGGGGGTTGGTGGAGCAGGAGGAATAAGCGAGTCGAGCACGGCCACGCTATTTTTTAAATCCTTTATATTAAGTTCACTTGCTTGCTTGCTTGCGCGCTTACGACCGTGCAAATCTTTCGGTCGTTTTTTTAACCCACTTCCCGTGATCCAATCGAGCTGACATTTTGCACACAGACTCATTATGCGTGACAATTTATTTTCGTGAAAATTTTTTTCCAAAATTTTACACTTTTTAGGAAAAAATAAATTATATTTAATCACCAATTGCTTAATGGTGGCAGGCAATCATCTGACCCATAGGTGGCAGCCATCTCAAGCCAGAGGACGAGAGGACTCTAGCCGCCACGTATATAAAAGATTTATAGTGGAAAACTTTGTTTTTACGGGTTAATTTTTTACTATTTACAAACTATTTTTTGTGTTGGACCAAGTGAGGCCCACTGAGCTACGTGGCACTACGACAGAAGCGACATGGACATCACAAACGACGGCCAAACCACGTGGGTCATCGTCGTGCGGGGAATGTGTAGCAGCGAAAACACTCGACACTCGTGATGCTAAAAGTGGAAGGAAAAACCGGAGGGCCCGGAGAAAAATCCGCGTGACCACCACTGGGAGAGAGAGAGACGCATACTTCAAATATACAGAAGCAGGCATCGTCAGGGTCGGGATCGAACCCATGACCTCCTGTAGACCAGGCGAGGTAGTCAACATCTTACCACTGGGAGAGAGAGACGCAGACTTCAAATATACAGCAGCAGGCATCGTCAGGGTCGGGATCTAACCCACGACCTCCTGTAGACCAGGCGAGGTAGTTAACATCTCATCACTGGGATAAAGAGACGCAGACTTTAAATATACAGAAGCAGGCGACCTCCTGTATACCAGGCGAGGTAGTTAACATCTAATATCCACCGTTGCGCTGCAGGGTGGCCATCACCACGCCCCTGGCCGCCTTTGTCTCCTCAGTGGCAAGGTTTACACGTCGCACCAGGTACTCATTTGAGGCTGAGTCGACCTAGGGGGGAAGGCCCAGGACCGGTTCATAAATAGGCAACTGCTTGAGAAGAGATTTTCCCCTTTTTTCTGGCAACAAACAGGTGTGTTTAAGATGTTAAAACACCAAACTGAAACCTTTTTACAAGGAATCGTGTCTGCATTAGCCACAATACAGCTGCCTAGTCTCGGCTCCAAAGAAAGCTGTCTCTGGTGTGGACCAATCAGTTTCAAAGACAATGCATTTATTATCAGAGTATGTTTTTTGCTTGCATTCTGACCACAAGCATTGTGGTTAATGCAGACATGATTCCTCGAAAAATATTTCCGTTTGGTATTTTAACATCTTAAACGGTTGTTTTGTTGCCAGAAAAAATGGGAAAACCTATTCTCATATTTCGGCGCTGGCAAAGGAAGAGGTGAAGCGACTGCTTCTTCGTCCTGAGCGGAAATCAAAATCGGATTGCCAAGTTCGCAGCGCAGCACGCTAACCACTGCACCACCGCTCCGCCACGCCTAGACACAGACACGCCGCACCACACACAGTGACACAACAACAACAGCCGCCGACATTCGCCACTAAGTGGCGGTGACGTCTCCAACGCGCTTGTGCCAGGCCAGGTGCACTTTAAGGCCACGTGAAGTGTCGAAGGCTCGCTGTTGGACAGGAAATCACGAAACAGGCCCAGGTGTTTTGGGTTGACTGACTGAGATGGCTGACATAGGCACCACCTGTGCTCGCTACTGCGCCAGCCAAACTTGCTACGTTTTAGCCGCTCGACGCTCCGCTCGTTATTGTGAGCGTCGCTCCTCGGCCCTCCGTTGTTGCTGGAGGGCCTCTGCCTCCAACTGCCCAGTAGCGTCCTTCACGAGCCTCCTCCTCCACAGAGGCCGATCTTGACACCGCTGGTACCGGTCGTAGGCAAGTCCACTCAGCTCCACATCCTCCTGTACCGCATCAGCTCCATCTCTTTTCTAGCCCGTTCCGTGCCCGTTCAGCACCCTCTATGCGGCCGAACAAAAGCTGTTAAGGCATGCGGTGGCTGGGCATGCGGGCTACGTGACCCAGCCAACGCAGCCTCGCCTGCCAGAGGAGCTCACTGATGGGACTGTGTCCCGATCTTGCAAGCAGCTGCTCACACAATCCATCCTGGTTAAACCCAGGATAGGATTGAAGGCAGGCGAACCTTTCCAACCGGAGCAGATGTTCCATTAGATGGATCCACGTTTCGCAAGCACAGAGAAGGGAGGGCATGACTGTGGAAGAGAAGACCCGAAGCTTCGTGCGGAGCGACATAACCAGGTAGCATAACCAGGTAGCAGCGTTACGCAAACGATGAAAAGATAATGCCGCCCGACTGATTCGGAGTGAGACGTCTGGCTGTCAAACCTGAGCTGGTCACGAACACACTGCCCAGGGACAAAAAACTTCTCCACTCTTTCCACAACTGCCCCATCACTCATAGGGAGCTGAGCGGTGGAGTATTTGATGACACAAAACACCCCGGCAGGTGCTTTGTTTGTCGTGGCGCTGGTGGTTTTGTGTGTTATGGGCGAGCCAACAAAGACAAAGATCCCCCGTGTAGCTTTAACAGACTGTTGGGGCAAGTGCTGTTAGCGAGCACCTATGAAGTGCGGAACGGCACACGAGGGGGTGGGTGACCAGCACCACACCCGGCCGCCTTTGTCTCCCCAGTGGCGCAGCGTGATGATTCTACAGGTGAGCACGGTGAGTGTAGCCAGGGGAGATGAACCTCTACAGGTGAGCGTGGTGAGTGTGGCCAGGGGAGATGAACCTCTACAGGTGAGCGTGGTGAGTGTAGCAGGGGAGATGAACATCTACAGGTGATCGTGGTGAGTGTAGCAGGGGAGATGAACCTCTACAGGTGAGCGTGGTGAGTGTAGCAGGGGAGATGAACCTCTACAGGTGAGCGTGGTGAGTGTAGCAAGAGGAGATGAACCTCTACAGGTGAGCGTGGTGAGTGTAGCAGGGGAGATGCACCTCTACAGGTGAGCGTGGTGAGTGTAGCAGAGGAGATGAACCTCTACAGGTGAGCGTGGTGAGTGTAGCAGGGGAGATGAACATCTACAGGTGAGCGTGGTGAGTGTAGCAGGGGAGATGCACCTCTACAGGTGAGCGTGGTGAGTGTAGCAGAGGAGATGAACCTCTACAGGTGAGCGTGGTGAGTGTAGCAGAGGAGATGAACCTCTACAGGTGAGCGTGGTGAGTGTAGCAGGGGAGATGAACCTCTACAGGTGAGCGTGGTGAGTGTAGCAGAGGAGATGAACCTCTACAGGTGAGCGTGGTGAGTGTAGCAGGGGAGATGAACCTCTACAGGTGAGCGTGGTGAGTGTAGCAGGTGAGATGAACCTCTACAGGTGAGCGTGGTGAGTGCAGCCAGGGGAGATGAACCTCTACAGGTGAGCGTGGTGAGTGTAGCAGGGGAGATGAACCTCTACAGGTGAGCGTGGTGAGTGTAGCAGGGGAGATGAACCTCTACAGGTGAGCGTGGTGAGTGTAGCAGGGGAGATGAACCTCTACAGGTGAGCGTGGTGAGTGTAGCAGGGGAGATGAACATCTACAGGTGAGCGTGGTGAGTGTAGCAGGGGAGATGAACCTCAACAGGTGAGCGTGGTGAGTGTAGCAGGGGGTGATGAACCTGGTGCACTGCGTGAGTGGCGGTGATTGTTGGCGCTTAACGTACGCACTGAGTTCTAAGTGTGCGGTGGTGCTGGGTGGAGGGGGGGCGAAGCGGTGAGTGAATTTGGGGGGGGGCGGTTGGGGGGCATTGTGGGGGGGGGCAGTGGGGGGGGGGCAGTGGGGGGGGGAGGGGCGGTGGGGGTCCCTTTACCTCCCAGGTCTCACAGCGGCCCCAGCACGCGTCCGTGGTGATGCGCACGCCGCGGCAGCCCGGCTTCCTCGCCACGAAGCTGAACTCGCGCACTGCGCAGCCCACGAATCCGCGGAGCTCGAGGGCGGCGCAGAGCGGCGGCGGCACGAGCAGCAGGGGCAGCAGCAGGAGGGGCAGCAGCAGGGGCAGCAGGAGGCGCCGCGAGGCGACGAGGAGCAGCAGCAGCAGCGCCACGGAGGACATCCTGCAACCCGCCACGGGCCCGCAACGCCGCCCCGTTAACATCGCCCGCAGCGGCACGGCGCGCATTGTGACCTCATCGTCGTCGTGATCATCACGCCCACCACCAGCAGTGTCATCGTCATTAACAACAACAACAACATCACCATCACCACCATCATCACCATCACCATCATCACGCCACCATCATCATCACCAGCATCATCATCACCATCACCATCACGCCCACCACCAGCATTGTCATCGTCATTAACAACAACAACAACATCATCACCACCACCATCATCATCACCACCACCACCAGCATCATCACCATCATCACGCCCACCACCAGCACTGTCATCGTCATTAACAACAACAACAACATCATCACCACCACCATCATCATCACCACCACCACCAGCATCATCACCATCATCACGCCCACCACCAGCACTGTCATCGTCATTAACAACAACATCACCACCATCATCACCATCATCATCACCATCACGCCCACCACCAGCATTATCATCGTCATTAACAACAACATCATTACCATCATCATCACCATCATCACCACCAGCAGTGTCATTGTCATTAACAACAACAACATCATCACCACCACCACCATCATCATCACCATCATCACCTCCAGCATTGTCATCGTCATTAACAACATCATCATCATCACCACCATCACCACCATCACCATCACGCCCACCACCAGCATTATCATCGTCATTAACAACATCATCTTCATCACGCCCACCACCAGTATCGTCATCGTCATTAACAACAACATCACCATCATGAGCACCACCGACATCGTCATTAACAACATCAACAACATCAACATCGTCGTCGTCACCATCGATGACGATGGGAGGTGTCACGCGCGTGGGGGTCCCGGAGACGGAGAGACGCGAGGCAGAGACACGGGGGCCACACGGAGACAAAACAGACGCGGCCACTCACACCTCACGCTCCCACGTGGCTCCGCGTGTCGGTGTCTCCTCCGCGTGTCGATGTCTCCTCCGTGTGTCGGTGTCTTCTCCTTATCCCCTCCGCGTGTCGGTGCCTCCTCCGTGAGCCCTCCGTGTGTGCACCACGCGCGGCTCCCGCCACGGCCTCTGTGCAGCAGCTGCAGCAGCAGCGCCGCTCCGCGCCCTCATCCCGCGATGACGACGGCGATGACGAGCGAGAGACTCGCGAGAAACGCGAGTCTCGGTGTGTGGGTGTCTGTGGGTGTCAGTGGGTGTCTGTGGGTGTCAGTGGGTGTCTGTGGGTGTCTGTGGGTGTCTGTGCAACGCAGTGGCGGTGAGCGAGGCGGCTTGTGGGTGTCTGTGGGTGTCTGTGGAGCGCAGTAGTGGTGAGTGAGGCTGCGTGTGGGTGTTTGTGGGTGTCTGTGTAGCGCAGTGGCGGTGAGCGAAGCTGCGTGTGGGTGTCTGTGGGTGTCTGTGGGTGTCTGTGTAGCGCAGTGGCGGTGAGTGAGGCTGCGTGTGGGTGCGTGTGGGTGTCTGTGGGTGTCTGTGTAGCGCAGTAGCGGTGAGTGATGCTGCGTGTGGGTGTCTGTGGAGCGCAGTAGCGGTGAGTGATGCTGCGTGTGGGTGTCTGTGGGTGTCTGTGTAGCGCAGTAGTGGTGAGTGATGCTGCGTGTGGGTGTCTGTGGGTGTCTGTGTAGCGCAGTGGCGGTGAGCGAAGCTGCGTGTGGGTGTCTGTGGGTGTCTGTGGAGCGCAGTGGCGGTGAGCGAGGCGGCGTGTGGGTGTCTGTGGGTGTCTGTGCAACGCAGTGGCGGTGAGCGAGGCTGCGTGTGGGTGTCTGTGGGTGTCTGTGGAGCGCAGTGGCGGTGAGCGAGGCTGCGTGTGGGTGTCTGTGGGTGTCTGTGGAACGCAGTAGTGGTGAGGGAGGCTGCGTGTGGGTGTCTGTGGGTGTCTGTGGAGCGCAGTGGCGGTGAGTGAGGCTGCGTGTGGGTGTCTGTGGGTGTCTGTGGACCGCAGTGGCGGTGAGTGAGGCTGCGTGTGGGTGTCTGTGGGTGTCTGTGTAGCGCAGTAGCGGTGAGCAAGGCTGCGTGTGGGTGTCTGTGGGTGTCTGTGTAGCGCAGTGGCGGTGAGCGAGGCTGCGTGTGGGTGTCTGTGGGTGTCTGTGGAGCGCAGTAGCGGTGAGCGAGGCTGCGTTTGGGTGTCTGTGGGTGTCTGTGCAGCGCAGTAGCGGTGAGCGAGGCTGCGTGTGGGTGTCTGTGGGTGTCTGTGGAGCGCAGTAGCGGTGAGCGAGGCTGCGTGTGGGTGTCTGTGGGTGTCTGTGTAGCGCAGTAGCGGTGAGCAAGGCTGCGTGTGGGTGTCTGTGGGTGTCTGTGCAGCGCAGTGGCGGTGAGCGAGGCTGCGTGTGGGTGTCTGTGGGTGTCTGTGTTGCGCAGTAGCGGTGAGCGAGGCTGCGTGTGGGTGTCTGTGGGTGTCTGTGTAGCGCAGTGGCGGTGAGCGAGGCTGCGTGTGGGTGTCTGTGGGTGTCTGTGGAGCGCAGTGGCGGTGAGCGCCGCGCTACGATCCCGGCGTCAACACCGGCAACGATCGTCTGAACTGGTCATGGACCTCCCCTAGGTCGACTCGGCCTCAAATGAGTGCCTGGTGCGGTGCGTAAAAACATCGCCACTGGGAGACAAAGGCGGCCGGGCGTGGTGCTACCCACCCACCCCCTCGCGCGCCGCGTCGGCCTTGAGAGGTGCTGCTCGCTAACAGCACTTGCCCCGGCAGTCTGTTCCGGGCTACGCGGGGCACCTTTGTCTTTGTGTGGGACACCAACAGAGTCGCCCCCCCCCCGCTCCCTCCCCCTCGCCCCCACCGGGAGGGGAAGGGAGGGTGGGGCGAGGGGGAGGGAGGGGGGGCGAGGGGGAGGGAGGGGGGGCGAGGGGGTAATGGGGGGGGCGAGGGAGCGGGGGTGAGGGGGGAGGGGGGGTGAGGGGGAGGGAGGGGTGGGGCGAAGGGGAAGGAGTGGGGGGCGAGGGGGTGATGGGGGGGGCAAGAGGGAGGGAGGGGGCGAGGGGGGTGATAGGGGGGCGAGGGGGAGGGAGAGGGGGTGAGGGGGGGTGAGGGTGAGGGAGGGGGGGGGTGAGGGTCACGGCAAGGGGAGCGCGGTGTCCCAGGGGAGGTCTGCTGCGAAGCGCCCCACGGATAGAAACAGAGGCCACGCCGCGTGGCGGTAACGCGCTGAGGGGGACGTGGGGGGGTGTTGAACGCAGTGGCGCTACGACTTGGGGGCCGTCCATTAATGACGTCACGCGATTTTGGACGATTTTTGACCCCCCCTCCCCCCATCGTCACATGGCGTCATAAAAAGTCAGACCCCCCCTCAAATATGACGTCACAAAGCTCTGCCCCCCCCCCCCCCCAAAAAAAACATGCTTCAAATCTCTTTGTAGTGCGTATTGAATGTGGCGCTGCACTCTGATGTTTGTGGGAGAAAACATTTATTAAAAAGTCTATTTAATTAAGTACAGTGAGGGAAAAAAGTATTTGATCCCCTGCTGATTGTGTACATTTGCCCACTGACAAAGAAATTATCAGTCTATAATTGTAATGGTAGGTTTATTTGAACAGTGAGAGACATAATAACAACAACAAAATCCAGAGAAACGCATGTCAAAACTGTTATAAATTGATTTGAATTTTAAGGAGGGAAATAAGTATTTGACCCCTCTGCAAAACGACTTAGTACTTGGTGGCAAAGCCCTTGTTGGCAATCACAGAGGTCAGACGTTTCTTGTAGTTGGCCACCAGGTTTGCACACATCTCAGGAGGGATTTTGTCCCACTCCTCTTTGCAGATCTTCTCCAAGTCATTAAGGTTTCGAGGCTGACGTTTGGCAACTCGAACCTTCAGCTCCCTCCACAGATTTTCTATGGGATTAAGGTCTGGAGACTGGCTAGGCCACTCCAGGGCCTTAATGTGCTTCTTCTTGAGCCACTCCTTTGTTGCCTTGGCCGTGTATTTTAGGTCATTGTCATGCTGGAATACCCATCCACGACCAAATTTCAATGCCCTGGCTGAGGGGTTCTCACCCAAGATTTGACGGTACATGGCCCCGACCATCGTCCCTTTGATGCGGTGAAGTTGTCCTGTCCCCTTAGCAGAAAAACACCCCCAAAGCATAATGTTTCCACCTCCATGTTTGACGGTGGGGATGGTGTTCTTGGGGTCATACGCAGCATTCCTCCTCCTCCAAACACGGCGAGTTGAGTTGATGCCGAAGAGCTCCATTTTGGTCTCATCTGACCACAACACTTTCACCCAGTTGTCCTCTGAATCATTCAGATGTGCATTGGAAAACTTCAGACGGGCATGTATATGTGCTTTCTTGAGCAGGGGGACCTTGCGGGCGCTGCAGGATATCAGTCCTTTACGGCGTAGTGTGTTACCAACTGTTTTCTTGGTGACTATGGTCCCAGCTGCCTTGAGATCATTGACAAGATCCTCCCGTGTAGTTCTGGGCTGATTCCTCACTGTTCTCATGATCATTGCAACTCCGCGAGGTGAGATCTTGCATGGAGCCCCAGGCCGAGGGATATTTTGTGTTATTTTGTTTCTTTCATTTGTGAATAATCGCACCAACTGTTGTCACCTTCTCACTAAGCTGTTTGGCGATGGTCTTGTAGCCCATCCCAGCCTTGTGTAGATCTACAATCTTGTCCTTGACATCCTTGGAGAGCTTTTTTTTCGATTTAAAGCTTTCGTGACTGCAGGGATTCATCTTCTTGGTTCTTTCGGTAAAGTCACGTAGAAGGGAAGTAATAAAATAATAAAAATAAAACATAATAAAACAATTCTCACCTTGGAGAGCTCTTTGGTCTTGGCCATGGGGGAGAGTTTGGAATCTGATTGATTGATTGCTTCTGTGAACACAGGTGTCTTTTTTACAGGTAACAAGCTGAGATTAGGAGCACTTCCTTTAAGAGTGTGCTCCTAATCTCAGCTCGTTACCTGTATAAAAGACACCTGGGAGCCAGAAATCTTTCTGATTGAGAGGGGGTCAAATACTTATTTACCTCATTAAAATGCAAATCATTTTATACAATTTTTGACATGCGTTTTTCTGGATTTTTGTTGTTGTTATTCTGTCTCTCACTGTTCAAATAAACCTACCATTAAAATTATAGACTGATCATTTCTTTGTCAGTGGGCAAACGTACAAAATCAGCAGGGGATCAAATACTTTTTTCCCTCACAGTAGAACGTGTTGTCTATATTTATTTAAAGTTGCGCATTTTGATGTGACGTCACATTTCTCACCCCCCCCCTCCACTCGTTACATCGTCACAAATGTCTCACCCCCCCCCCCCAGGTGCGTGACGTCATTTATGGATGGCCTCTTGGTCGTCTTCGTCTTGTTCTTGACCACCACCTTAGCTGGGGGCGAGCGAGACACGGACAGATTTGTTGTTGTTGTTTTTAGAACGCTTAGGCGTGCGAGGCTGCATTCAAGGTTAAGAGCCGCTGCTTTAACACATGGTAGTAGCAGTAGTGTAGCAGGAGGGTGGGGTTCGATCTCGTAAATTTGACATGTTGTTAAACCTGCCACCACTCCGACACCACCAATTAGTGAGTTTTATTCACGTTAACAACATAAACCGTGCCAATTTGTTACCAGTTCACCACTAAACCGGGTTTGTGTTGGAGAGTTAAACCCACGATACCATTAACATCACCGCGACGTTCTTGCCGGATAATTACAACCACCACCACCAGCCTCATCAGGCGACAACCAGAGTCGTTGGAAAACTCCTCAGGAGGGATTGCAATTAATTATTGTAGAGGGGGTGGATGGGGGAGCTTGTAGCGACCGAGGGAGACATGGGGGGGGGAGCGCAATGACTCAGATTCTCACATCCAGAGTCTCACGTCCAGAGTCTCACGTCCAGAGTCTAACGTCCAGAATCTCACGTCCAGAGTCTCACATCCAGAGCCTCACATCCAGAGTCTCACATCCAGAGCCTCACATCCAGAGTCTCACACCCAGAGTCTCACACCCAGAGTCTCACACACAGAGTCTCACGTCCAGAGTCTCACGTCCAGAGTCTAACGTCCAGAATCTCACGTCCAGAGTCTCACATCCAGAGTCTCACATCCAGAGCCTCACATCCAGAGTCTCACATCCAGAGTCTCACACCCAGAGTCTCACATCCAGAGTCTCACATCCAGTCTCACATCCAGAGTCTCACACCCAGAGTCTCACATCCAGAGTCTCACATCCAGAGT